ATTGTTATCTGTGTTGTGTATTTACCAATTAATTTATGGTGTCATTCTGTATCTTATTATGACTGGGATTGTTGACAGTAAGACATAAAATAACCTCTTGTAGACCAAGATCAGATGGGATCAGGTAAACATGGAGTGTGAGGGATGTTTGAGATGATGCTGTGAGAATCTTGCTATATATTAACACCATACAGTATATTTCCACTGGAAGGCCCAACCAGTCCAACAGGACCATTAATAGAGAGAAATCTGGGTCAGACAGCTTGACATGGGACGATGTGACCTCAGACACTTTTTCCACGACATCTCCACAGTCATCTATGTGTAGGACTGCAAACTTGTCTAATATTGTTGGATTGTCATCTGCACAAAACAAAAGCACAGTAAGTGAAGAGAAAATGATTGCATCAGTTTTTGTACTCGTGCTGTCAAAAATAAAAAGTTAGTACATTTTATTTTTCATTATTTTCTTCATGTCCACTTACCTATGCAGATCCAGTGTGGCAGGTACACTACATCTAACTTCCCAGCAATGACTGTGATGTCCATCAGGGGACCTGCGGGCATGTACTTCATGCTTTCAATCCTCGCCAAGTGTCCACTCAAAGAGCAAAACTGGTACTTAAAGCTGACCTTTTCCTTACAGACCCAGCGCAAGCCAGAGACACTGCATTCAAAGTTTCCTGCTTCAGACTGTAGGCTAAAATGTGAATGGAAAAAAAAAGAGTTTGTGTCGATGCACATGAAGGAACAAAACAGAGTAAATGTAAACTTAGAGAGTATCTGCCTTGATTCTATTATTGTAATATTGCTTTAAAAATCTTTTTATTTTCCTTCTGTGAAAAATCTCAAGAGCCAAATGGTAGTGTTTCCTGTAGTTCTAGTTTGCTGTGACGCAGTATTTAGGATGTAATCTTTACCTGTAAGTTGGAGCCTCATCAGCATCTGTACAGTTCACTTCGGGGTCAAGTTTAGTCCAGTCACTGGAGTGGGGAGAGGCCCAACATGCTGCCAGGGACTGGCAATGGAGAGTGCTCATTGAAGCCTTATGTCCCATAGGGGACGAAGAGGAGTAACTAAGTAAGTAAGTAAGTAAGTAACTGGAGTCCTGCTGCAGAGGACAATCATTTTCACAGATAAGTGCAGATGTGTCTTTTTGAAACAAAACATTAAGAACAAATGAATGAATGTAAGGGATTACCGTAACACTTCCATAACCCTCAAGCTCCAAGCTTCCTGAAGGCCCTTGTGAAGAATAGCCAGAGTCCCCCCATGTCTCTCTCAGGCCAGCATGGAGGTGTTGATACATGCTTGTATCTCCTGTAGGTTAGATTATTTTAATGCCCTGCTCTCTGGTCTTCCCAAAAAGAGTATCTCAAATCTACAATTATTACAGAATTCAGCTGCACGAGGGCTGACGAGGACCAGAGAGCGGGAGCACATTACACCAGTTTTAATATCGCTGCATTGGCTCCCCGTGCGCTTCAGGATCGATTTTAAGGTTATTTTATTAGTTTTTAGATGACTTAACAGTCTTGGGCCTTCTTATTTATCTTACCTGCTTTTACCATATCAACCCTCGCGGACCCTGAGGTCCTCTGGCACAGGCCTTTTAACCATACCACAAGCAGAGGTGGGTAGAGTAGCCAAATATTGTACTCAAGTAAGAATACTGATACTTTAGAACAATATTACTCAAGTAAAAGTAAAAAGTACTCATCCAAATAATTACTTGAGTAAGAGTAAAAGAGCATTTGGTGAAAAAACTACTCAAGTACTGAGTAACTGTTGAGTAACGTCTGATTTATTTGTAAAATAAGAACATGAACGTAATCAATCAATCAAAAATAATAATCTGCAAATTCATGTATTTTAAACGATACCCCTTTCACTAAAACAAAAATAAATTAAATCTTTACAAACATAACATAAATCAAGGCACAAGAAACACAAATATATTCTTATATATACTGTACA